ACAAACCTATTATGTAGGATCAAGGGTGATGGTGACCAAGAAAAGCAGAACGTTTCATCACTTTGAGTATGAAACGTCCCATTTCCCTCGTGTTTGAATTAACGTCTGATCGAACACATGCAATGCAACACGAAGATGCTTATCTTGCACACTTTTACTTGTCAAATTTTATTTACTCATTTTAGTTACCAAACCATTCTTTAGTCAATTTGTCCATTGCTGAATGTCTTCTAAAGCGAAATAAGTGTCAACCAAGGAGTAGTTCAAGGCATGAGGGAAACTTCATGCCGTTGGTAATGAACCCTCAAAGGAGGATTAAACCATTAGGCATGAGCCTCAACCTCAAGCTTAAACAACCCTAAGGTTGAAACACCCTCAAAACAATTGAAAGAGTGAAGAAATGAGGGAGATTGTAGAGATTAAGGTGCTGAAATTACATGCAAAATAATACTAAAACATGCAATCAACTCAAGAAAATGATGTTTAAAGGCCTAAAACACCAAACTAGTGAAGCCCTTTACACTACAGCTATGCAATACAACGCTCAAAAGCAATAACCAGCCCAAAACAAATGCAAAACAACCCAAAATATAGCTTAAAACATTCTGAAATTAAGCTAACACATGCTAGAATAATAGGCTAAAACATGAAGCATGCTAGACCAGTAAGCAAGACACAAAGAAGGGAGGCTACCTCCTCCATTTTTGGACTTCAAAACATGTTTTTATTCACTAAAATAGCTCTGAAAAATAGTGTTTAAAAGCTTGGAAAAAAATAGCAAAAGGGTGGGAATCAGAAGGGCCAAGGCCTCCAAAACAAGGTACAAAGAAGGGCTATCAACCCCTCAACCTTTAATGGCCTTAGGACCTAAGCTTCAGCCCAAAAACACAGAGTTTTTATAGCCCAAAATCAGTTGGAAAACATGTTGGAATGAAGACAAGAGTAGCTAAAACATGAGGTTACACTACAACCATGCAAAAGACTACTCATACAACATAAACAACCCAAAACATAGCTAAAGTAGCCCAAATCAGAGGCAAAAACATGCTAGAAATAAGCTAAGTTAAGCTACAAAAACATGCTAACATATAAAGCTAACTAGGCATGCAAACAAGACACAATGAGGGGAGGCTAACCCCTCCAATTTTGGACATCATTTTGGACCTCAAAACAAGTTTTTTGCCACAAAAAATCCTCTGAATTTGAGTCGTTAAAAGGCCAAAACAAGTTGGTTTGAAAGTGATGAATGAAGGCACAAAAGCTTTAACAACAAATGAGTGAGAAGGGTGAACCACCCCCTAACTTGAAATGGCCTTAAACCAACACTTTTAACCCAAAAAAACAGAGGTTTTTCAGTTCAAAAACACCCCAAAAAATAGTACAAAAAGATGGCAAAAACAAGTATGAAAAATAAGCTTAATGGGTAAAGGTTATACCTCTTGAAGCCAAGCACACTTTAGGCACAAATGAGGCACCAAATCAAGCTAAAATCACCTTCTAAAGCTCAAAGAAGGTCCCAAGGAATCTCAGCCCAAAGATAAGTAACTTTGGTTAAGGGTTGATAGGCAAACTAGAAGTGTATCTCTACTTGTATGCACAAAAGGGCAAGAGAGAAAGAAATCTAAAGAGAAAGAGTTGTAGAGAGAGAGGATTGTAGAGAGAGAGAGGCTCCCAAATCTTTCTAACCTTGAAAACAATAGAGAAGGCCTTCTATATATAGAAATACAAGAGCCTTGGTCAAAAATATCAAAGAAGGGACAGCTGGAGTAATGTGAAACAGCTGGAGGGAAAATATCTGTAAAATCTGAGCTACTCTTGCACCAGTGGCCGCCCGGCCATCATTGGTGGCCGACAAGCCACCATTTGTGGCCAAAAAGGGTCAGTCTTCACCGACATATGGCCAACAAACCCCATTTGTGGCCGACACATGGCCGACAAGCTCCATTTGTTGCCGATAAGCAAAAATTGGTTTCTGGCCCCGACTTCAAACGGGTATATCTCCTTCATCCGAACTCCTTTACAGGTGATTCTTGAGTCTAAATTGAAACCCCGAAAATATTATTTCCAATGGTGAAAGCCTTACATCAAAATTCCAATTGTACAGAAAGATATGCCTCTTTTAGTGAAGACTACTCAGTTTCAGTTCTAACTGGATTAATGCCCAACTTCAACCAGCCATAGCTCATATGGGCTCGGCTTTAGGAGATTCTTGAATGCAAAATGAAACCCTGGAAGTCCACTTTCCAATGGTGATGGCCTCATAGCTGAAATCCAAGTGTACAGAAGGATAGGCCTGATTTAGCGAGGGCTGCTCGACTCTCTCTTAACGATTCGTGCCCAACTTCTTCCCCAACTAGGTTCTTCCCTCTCCTCCAATTGGATTGTAGAGAGAGAGGCTCCCAAATCTTTCTAACCTTGAAAACAATAGAGAAGGCCTTCTATATATAGAAATACAAGAGCCTTGGTCGAAAATATCAAAGAAGGGACAGCTGGAGTAATGTGAAACAGCTGGAGGGAAAATATCTGTAAAATCTGAGCTACTCTTGCACCAGTGGCCGCCCGGCCATCATTGGTGGCCGACAAGCCACCATTTGTGGCCAAAAAGGGTCACTCTTCACCGACATATGGCCAACAAACCCCATTTGTGGCCGACACATGGCCGACAAGCTCCATTTGTTGCCGATAAGCAAAAATTGGTTTCTGGCCCCGACTTCAAACGGGCATATCTCCTTCATCCGAACTCCTTTATAGGTGATTCTTGAGTCTAAATTGAAGCCCCGAAAATATTATTTCTAATGGTGGAAGCCTCACATCAAAATTCCAATTGTACAGAAAGATATGCCTCTTTTAGTGAAGACTACTCAGTTTCAGTTCTAACTGGATTGATGCCCAACTTCAACCAGCCATAGCTCATATGGGCTCGGCTTTAGGAGATTCTTGAATGAAAAATGAAACCCTGGAAGTCCACTTTCCAATGGTGATGGCCTCATAGCTGAAATCCAAGTGTACAGAACGATAGGCCTGATTTAGCGAGGGCTGCTCGACTCTCTCTTAACGATTCGTGCCCAACTTCTTCCCCAACTAGGTTCTTCCCTCTCCTCCAATTTTCTTCAACTCCAAACCTCTAAATAAGGTGTTTTGAAACAATTTTCAAAGAGTTCACCTCTCTTTCATTTATTTCCATTTTGTCCTTGCTCGGTTTACCGAAAAGCGTAACATTTAACGAAATGCGAGCCTCGGAACATCATAGAAATGTTTTTTCAAAAATATTTTGAAAGAGAGGGTTTTAAGGTTTAAAAATCATTTTGGTCAAAATAGTTTTGGTCCAAAATGGGTGTAAGGTTGGGATTTGAAGCTCCTCTTGCCGAAGAAATCGAACCTTTGCACAACATAGCCTTCGTCCTGCCTTCGTCCACGAACAATCAACCTGGGACCCCCAAGTCTTAAGGGCGGTCAAAAATGGGGTGTCTACACAGTCCTCTTAATAATCTCACCCAATCTAGTGTCCAGTTTGTCCAAAAAAGAGCCGAGTGTCTCTGTCATTGTAGCAATATTACTTGTGATTCCTTCAGTAGTCCTGCCTCTTTTTGTTCCTCTTGCTAAAGGTAGAAGAGTTGGATACATTTCCATTTGTAGACATTGAACACTCGAAGTCAACAACATTGAATTGCTTAGCTGGAGAACCATCACCCTTCTTCCCCATGGCTTCCTCCACAGCAATTGCTTCAACTGCATCTACGGGATCTTCAGCTAACTCACAAGTGGCTCTATCTTTGCCAAAGAGAACAAGCCAATCTTCATAATACGGAAATGACTTGTTTTGCATAGAACTCACACTTGGTTATCTCTACACAAGTTCAAAATAAAGAAAGAACATTCAGGCATGCAGCACATAAACAAAAGTATAGGGAGTGAATATGTACTTGGAGCTCTTTCAACAAGAGCTCAAATTAAAGGTAAGCTAAATGAGATCAAATTGAAATGAAGATGAATGGGATATCTAGTAGTTATGATGAGATGAACACTAAAAAATAGAAGAAAAAAACTTCCCAAACAAAGTTTTCCCAAACATCAGCACTATCAACAAGAACCATCTTCTCAATGTCATTCCATCTAAACCCGCTAAGCTCAGTCATTTCATACAAATGGCCATAGTGTTTCCTCCAAATTTTTATCTTTGATTCAATGTGAGGACAAGCACGAAGGTCACTTCCAGGAAAAGTCATGACTATTCTCTTCTCAAGTTCGCCATAAAACCCGGACTTAAATTGCCCACTGTCAACCTTCCATTTAGGATTATTACACAAATCTCTCATTGCACTTATGAGAAACCACTCCTCCCGCTTTGTCCAAATCCTACAACTCCCAATTGAACCAGCATCTGCCTTCCCCTTACTTTTCTTTCGAGAATGACTGGTAGCAACACTATCTATGCCTATAATAATGATGTACAACACATATTATTAATTTAATAGCTCATTCTAATATACAAAATACAAGTATGGAAGACAAGGTGAAAATATGATTGAAAAGTGTGCATGAACTATATAAAAAAATAAAAAATAAAAAAAGCACTCTTGATATTAAACAACTGTTCAATCTACCTAAAATATAGCTATTATTACGCACTCATGAAAGCAACAAATGGTTCTCAATGAAATAAAGATTTAAACAAATAAAATTGATTAGCTTAAAAATAAAAAAAATAAAAAAAATCCATCTCAACTACGTAAGATTCTCATTACATATTTTGCAAATATGAAAATAGACAAGATTCTCATCATTACAAATAAAATATTTAAATAAACTATCTCAACTACGTAGGATTTCCACCAACTCCTCTAATTGCTTGCCATTCATTGAACATTATGTTTGCCAATGTATCCCTCCAGTCACTCCATTGATTTGATGGCTCTGCTGTATTGATGAACTCTTCTCCTAAATCAGGTTGAGGTATATGAGTGTTATTTAACTCGAACTCAAATGGATCCACTGGCATTTCACGTCTGATGAGGTTGTGGAGAAGGCAACATGTAGGTTTTGATTGGGTAGTACGAAGCAGTTCTCAGTATTGCCCACCTAATCTTGAGTAACCCAAAACACTTCTCAATAACATTACGAGCAGCAGAGTGCTTCATGTTGAAACCCCTCTCTCTCCGTGTAGAGAGGTGATAGCATTGCCCTCTATACAACGCTAAGAAACCCTCACCATTAATGTAACCCGCATCTACAAGATAGTAGAAACCTGAAAACAAGTATGGATTTCATATGTATAAGTACTTTAAAAATTGGGAAATTAAGATTGCATGAGTTAACTATATAGATTCTTATCGGTCGGCACCTTCTAACCATTTGGTCTATTCACAGCATCTCTAAGTACCCTAGAATTTGAAGCTGAACCTTCCCATCCAAGCAACACATAAATGAATTGCATGTCTTGGGAGCAAACACCCAAGACATTAGTAACAATTTCACCCTTCCGTGTTCTATATCTTGGCTTATCTATTGCAGGAACACAAACCCTAACATAAGTTCCATATAGAGCTCCAAGACAATTCTACCAAAGATCAAAATAAAATAAGGTTATTCATTTTAAATATGTTAGTGTTTGCCAAAAATCTAAATGAAATTAAACTATGTAATACCTGAAAACACCTCCATCTATCATCTGTGCAATTTATAGTTATTGGCTCTAGTGTCTTAAGTAAGACACCCTGTAGGCGTAAAATAGCTTTAAGGACATTGTTAAAGTACTGACTAACTCTTTGCCCAGACTGCTTGAAATTGAACTTGATGTTATGATTCTTATAATCGTGTGCAATCACATTTAAGAACTTTGCAACTTTCTCCTCTAAGAGGACATATTTGGAATCAGATAATCCCACACTTCGGACAAGTGTACAAAGACACATGAAGGTATGCCTATTCACTCGGAGTTATTCATGACAATCAATATCGCTATGCTTCACCAATCTATTCAAATAGTCTAATTGTGCATGGAAGGGATGTTGTGACCTTTTAATATCCAACCTAGATTGGTACCTCTCCAAGGCAACATGTAGTACAATAATGTACACACCACATACATAGTTAATAGATGACACAACTTCTTGGAGTGTTACAAATGCTTCAAATAGGTCCATCATACTGTCCGAGCATTCATTATTGTCCATCTACAAATACTTCAACTAACACATCAAATCTAGTTAGTGTAAGAGATTAGAACTACATGTATTTCTGATGGGTACTGAAAGAGCTCCCAAAAGATTGCATTAATTCAAATCTAAACACATTCAATATGATTACAATTTTTTTCTTATGCAAAGATTTTTTTTGAATTTAAAATAGCAAGAGAGAAACATATCATATATTTAAAAATTATAATGAGCAGTCAAATTTGCAAAAATATAATAAGGACTATGACTCATTGATCAACAAAGAAATCAGGGAAGTTGTTCTCGAATCCATTGAAATCATCCTAATAACCCTGATATGTACTTTTCCCTTGATAACAACGAAAAGATGAAGGAATGACCTTAACCTTAATGATAGAGATGATATTTACACAACAAAATAACTAAATAACTAGGTGATTAATCAGTTGGCAGGAGACAGGAACTGCATTATAAAACAAACAAAATTGCAACATCAACTCAACCAGGCCCCATCCAGATTCGTCATAAAAAATTTGTGAGGTAATTCCAAATTTTCAAGGTTTCGTATACTATAACATCCATCAGAAATGGTAGTACCCAAGTTCTATGACAATACAGATTATTATATCAATCATTTTTTTTTAATACAGATTATCCATACAAAGTGCATATAAACTAAACGGATCAAATTATCAAAGCGAGACTTGTAATGAGCTCATGAGCTTGAGCTACACAGTTCAATCCCCTTAATGGACCAGAGACCAACTAAACCCATTTCTGAGTTTAGGAAATCTATTTACATACACACAATTACCAGCAAATTAGTGGAGAACCTTAAAGAACATGTAATTATGGATGTAATCTCAAAGTGGATAAAAAGCTTTTAGCATGAAACACATCATTCATTACTAGGTGAATTATCTAACAAAGATGAAACTACCAGATAAGCTATTAGCTCCCCTAACAAATAAAAGGAAAATCAAATAAAGAAAATTCATGGCTCAATCTCTGATGTCTTTATATTTACCACATAGAACACTATTGAAGTGTTTTCTATTTTTAGTCTTGCTCAACCACTGAACCCCAGATCAAAGTTCAGTTAATCAATCCAGAGCCTAAACATAATTAATGTGTTAAAAATTAATTAATTCAAGCATGCAAATTAGGAATTTTACAAAACTAAACAAACAAAGAGAAAATTAAAACATGAAACACCATTGGACCAAATAAAGCAGAAAATGTAGACCTACGAATATTTCGCAGTCTCCACCTTGACCATGGAGAACCATACTCATCTACTCACTTTTGTATGATTGTGTCCAAAATCAAGCCAATCTCACACCAAACCCTTTTAGGGCCAAGTTAAATGTTATTTTTAATGGTTAACAAAAATTAGAATTGGGCAGTTTATTGTGAAAATGTATGAATAACCAAAAAGAGAACACAACTAAAATTGTGTTAAGGTCTAATTGTGCAAGTTGACTTTGTAGAAATATAGTGAACTAAGCCCTAGGTTGTCCTCCCAAAATTTTTATAAAATCTCAATCCATAAGGGTTATGATTTTATAGGGAAAAATAAATAAATAAAACAGTGTTGTAGAAAAAAAAAGAAGAAATATATAAGCAACTCATTCACTAAACTAGACCAATTCCTTGATCTTTAGTTTTAGTTGAAAAAATATATAAGTTTCCTATATGAATAGGGATGAAAATTTGAACCCGGCCCGCTGAGGACCCGACCCCCCGACCCCGATTAGAACGGGTTTTTCTCGAAAATTACTTCCCGTAGGGCCGGGGACGGTATTAAAAATTAAATCACCAATTGTTTTCAGGCTGGGGATGGGGATAGGTTCCCCAACCCCGGCCCCAACCCGGCCCTGCTCTCAAATAATCCCCGAACATGGCCCGTATATATAATAAATTTATAAATTTCATATTCAGCCTCTGCCATTCATTTTTAGCCTCTTATTCATTGAATCCCTCATTTCTCTCTCTTTGTCTCTCTCTTTCTCTCTCTTACTACCACCGTCGTCGCAAACCACCGATCTCTTCACTAACGTCGTCGCACACCACCGATCGCTATCATTCGGTGCACAACACTCCTTCTACCGCAGTACCACCGATCGCCCTCCTCGTCATTTGCTTCTGTGTTGTGGTTTTTTTGAAAATATCAATGATTTTTTTTGAAAAATCTTGATCAATTTATATATATATATATGGATTCAAATTTGATTTGTTGTTAGGGTATTATTGTTAAGGTTTTATCTGTTGAAGATATCTAAATTTTTTCTGTTAACGTTTTGATAGATCTATGATTTTTTTGAACAGATCTATGATTTTTTTGAACAGATATGTGGTTCTCTCTTCTCTCTCCTATCTGCTCTTCATCTTCTTTGCTGATTGTTGTTGCTTTGTACAGGGATTATTCGGGGTCGGGGAAACCCGATCCCCGTTAGGGGGCGGGGGCGGGGGGGTGGATGGGCTCCCCGCCAGGGATCAGGGCCGAGGACGGAGAATTTTTTACCATCGGGGATCGGGGATGGGGAGGGCGATCCCCGGCCTTGCCCCGCTTCGTTGCCATTCCTACACTCAGCTACCCTTCGCAGTCGGCCCTCCCCACGGTCGGTCTGTCCACTCGGCCACCCTTTGCGGTCGCCCCTCCCCACCATTTTTATATAGGAAAAAGATTTGAAAAAAAAAAAAAAACATCATATGTGAATTTTTAATGGTTTTAACGCGTGATCATTTTATAGGGAAATTTGCTGCTGTTTACATGGGGCAATATGATCTCTTGGCACTCATATTGAATGTGTTTAGATTATGAATTTTTGAAATAAAAAGAATAAAGAGTGATCAATAAAATGGGGAAGCTTGGTTATATGAGTTTTCTTATTTCAATTTTTTTTTTTTAAAGAATATTATGGAAAAAGAGTGGCCATAAGTATAATGTATTCTCTCTTCTATTGAAGAAATTTCCTTAGATTAAGCAAAAATGTGTGGACCAAACCAATACAGAGTGTGCACGATCACATTATTCATTTAAACATAGCGTACTTGAGAAAAAGGCTCATTTCCTCCTACCAAAAAGCTAGCATTGGTAGCTATCAAATCATTGTATGACCTAAAAAAAATGGCAACAATTTTCTCAATTTTTTTTTTTAAACATTAGGAAAAAAAAAAGTGTTTTGTTTTATTTTCAAAATAAGTTTTTGATTTTACATTTCTCCCCAATCACCTCCAGCCACCTCTATTGGCTACTTACCATTGCCGACGACAGCCACCATTTTTAGAACTTGTCCAATATATATATATTGTTTTAATATGTTTTCAAAATATTTACATCAAACAATTTTCATTTAGAAAATAAGAAACTAAACTATTTTTTTCCTTAAAAAAAAAGCTTTAAGTAAGTCTCAATTATGGCAAGAAGATGAGAGAATTGATATATCTATAGAAGAAAAGGATGGCCTCATGTCAGCCTAGATATCTAACATGACAAAAGTACCTTGGATCCTTCTTCAAACTGTCGGTTACACTCACTTTCACATTTAAAAATAAAATATTAAAAGTCGTTATTTTTTTCACCACATTTATTATCACTCATATTTTCTCAGATACCAAACAAAGCAAATTAACAAGAAAAAAGGTCATCTCATAGGTGGGAAGTACAATTCAACAATAACATTCAAAAGACCAAGAAATGTCTACACAAAAAATAATACACACAACTTGATATTAAAAATTAAGCTCTAAAATGGAGAAAACTACTAGTGATCAAGCCAGAACTGAACTGAAACAAACAGCAGCTAAACTCCATAGGGTTTCAAAGCGAGAATCAAAGTGAAAGTTACAAACACTTGATGGGCAATAATCAAACACTTCATGAACATGTTCCAATTGTTTATGATGAGTTTCTCCCTTGAACATAGAATCAAACACATGGTGGGCAGAATTTTAACAATAGAATCAAACACAGATCTAGTAGATAATATATATCAAAACCATCAAAACATTGTTACAAATACATAGATCTATATATATATACAATTACATCTTATAAATTCTGACGATGATGATTTATCATAAATTTTGAACCAAACATGTAAAATTAATTGTTGAAATAGATAAAAATCTAGAAAAAAAAAAATAAAAATAAATGGCAAAGATGATAATCTCACCGGTAATGAGAGTTTTTCAGTGCTTACAGTGAATTTTTCGGCGAACGAAGGCTGAAATTGGCACACAGAGACGGAGATCTTCTCTCAGCAAAGCTGCTGTGTCTTTGCTGTGTAGAAATGATTTGATTTGGCTTACATTTTTGCTTATATAGTCAGGGTAAAATAGTCTTTTTACTTTATTTCCCAATTCAAGATATATAATCCCGCCCTTACCCCATTATTAATAATCCTACAAATTTGTTGGATTAATTATCCATTGAATTAATAATCCTACAACAAAATGTCAAAACAAACATAGGATAATTGGGCCCATGGATTAATTGGGCCCATGGATTAATAATCCTAATCCTATGCTCTAGTCCTGTCAATCAAACATGCCCTTTGTGGTATGAGATCTTGGGTTCAACTCCTATAAAGAGGAGTTTAATACCCTTCATAGTGGTGTTTATTTCTTCCCCATTATGAAGATTGTTGGGTTTGGGTTTGGACTTGGGCTTAGTGGGTTTTTTGGTATGCTTTGTTGACTTTCTAATTTGGGAGATTCTATTTACACCCAAAACATCACTAAGTATGCCTAAT